ATATGTAAAAAAAAAACAAAAGATCATGACAAAAATACATTTCAAGCTAATAAACGTTTTCTTTTCAGAAGGTTGTAAAAATACTACAGCAAAAGTTCCAAGTAAAAATCCATTATATATTTAATATGAATGTTTACATGGAGAATCATTACTATTCTCGTCTGTTGCAGGATGTGGATGTGGGCATATGAATGTATTTAAAGTGAAGAGACACACCCACACCCTTGCATAGAGATTTGGTAGCTTCAAAAGTTATCTGCAGAATGTAATCTTTAGTTTTCAAAAATTGTACCTTACTTCAGAGTTCTTGTTTTCAAGCGAAAATGAATGAGGTGAAATTCGATAGCTTTTTTCGTGTGATGTTACTAAGGTGAAGTTTTTTATTCATAACTTCTATGAACAAAGATCTCAACTGCTGATTTCTTTAGCCTATCTAAAGTAACTTAACATACATAGAATATATATGTAAAAATAATCCTATGAAAGTTCCCTGATTCGACAAACTTAAACTCGACGCCCTTAACAAATCTCTAACGAATATCTTTGCCCTTATATCAATTAGAACTCATACTTTATGTACGGATAAAATGATCAAATATCTTATGATATAAATACTGTAAGCATGGAAGAACATATTTTGCAAAATGTTTCAGATTATTATTTATAGACAAAATTTAATCGATAAATTGATCAAAACAATATTTCAATTTTTTTAATTAGTTTAGCATAAAAATATAATCAAATCTTCTTTTTGTCGAACTAGGATGACGCAACAAAAAAATATGGCAATCTTTTCTGGAAGGCTAACTACACTATTATTTTATTATTTATTTATTAATATTTGTTCGTGCTACTAGATTGAGTCCATCATGTCTTCCTCCTTGTTTACCCTAATGTTTTTTTCGCGATCTCTCTATTTCAAATAAGTGCAACACCTACACCTGGATCTGAAAGTCAAGAACGTAATATAATTGAATTTGATAATATGATTCGACAAACATTAGGCATATCGGCATTAAATTGATAATGGTTAGTATAGTTGCTAAATAATTTGTAACGAAAAAAGTAAAATTTAATAAAAAATGAGATTTTTCTAGGTGTAGAGTTGGTGGTAAAGGTAAATCAGTTGATGCTACGGATGCTTGTTGTAAAGCTCATAATATTCAATCTCGAACGAATTTTCTTCGATGTCCACTTTATAGTGCTTTTTATAGTGAAGATTTAGATCCTAAAACTCGTCTTCCATATTGCAAAGATACACCAGGTTCATGCGCAAATCATGTTTGGAATGTGATCGTATTGTAACTAAATGCCATAAACGAAATTTACATACATGTATTAAATCTTTCTCTTAGAACTTCTCTTTCATAATCATATACTAAAAATACATCCGTGAATAAAAATAAGAGATCAGTAAATAAGATTATAAAAGAGTTGAGAAATAAAAGAAGATAATCTCCATTTTATCTGAATAGCTCAATTTTAAATATGAGTAAAACATTAAATGTCATAGATTAAATTTGATTTGTATAGAGAAATGTTTTTCTTGTTGCATGTGTTTATCAGACACAGGTACTACTATAACTGATAACTGATGTTTTTTTTTATTACTTGATTTTGTAGATTGATATAATTTAAAATGTAACCATACAGTTTGTTTATTCATAAATAATGAGGGTGTGCATGATGATGTGGGATGAAGCCTAAGGTATATCTACACCCACACCGAAATGGCAACACTTTAAATAAATGGGTAAGACAACGAAGAGAGAATATAAGACTATGAGGTTTGTAGTAACGGTAGATAAAAATAGCCATTCAGATCTTTCAGTTTATCAATGTTCTTTAGTTCAAATTTTAGAATAGTTATGTTCGAGTTACTTTATGATTAAATTCCATTGAGTTCCTATGCATAATGTATTTAGTTAATATTTTCATGAATAACAGATATAAATAAAATCGTCCATTTTGTTGCAGATCTTGCGTTCAAAAATACAATATTTATTTGTAAATGTAAATGCTGTTGCTTTGATAAACTAAAAGAACCAAGTAAGTCTTCCAGCATGCTTTCTACTGAACGAGAAATCATTTTGAGCTTATGTAGCTCAATGGTGCATATGCATGATCACTCATCGCTTCTTCCTCCGTTCAAGTGTGACTTCCGTTACTTAAGGTGGCAATTCAATCCGTTTGCCATGTTAGATTAGAGATCATCATGACAACATACAGATAGCGTCTCCCTGTTATAACCTGAGATGGTTTGAAATTTATTTTTGAAATCTTTACCGTTTCATTTGAAACATGTCCAAGCGCGTTTCTGAAATATATCGCGTTTTAACGTAAACAATGTTCTATCTGAGCTGTGTCTGAACATGTATGTCTTTTTGTATCTTGAACGTGTACCAAACACGATTCAGACTGTGCTCAGTAAGCAGTGAACAGTGATATAGATGTGATTGAGTATTTCAGAACATTCACTAATCTTATGTCATTTGAAAATACCGAAGTTCATCGTGTTAAGGTATTAAAGTCATCAACCAAAAACAAGCATGAAAGACAGCAATTTGGAAATATCATGCCAAATATTCGACAAAGAAAAATGAGAAAACGCTACTTTATCACGAAATTAAAAGTTAGATGACATAGTGACTTGGAGAATAATTTGTTTCATTTGATTGACCAGTCATGATATCCAACAAGCAAAGCAGATACTCAAATCGATGTTCATATGCGGATATCGACTTAGGTATTCATTTTGTTATAGAATATTCACTAAATAATGCTCAACTTCATACACACGCAGATATCGAGTTGTGTATCTTATATCGATAGTCATATGGTGTGTGGGTATGGATCAAAAACATTCACACCCACACTCATGTGGTATTGGTGATTATGATATTGATATCCATTCCCTATTCATAGTAGTTTCCGTCACAAATTTATATATATATATATATTTGCTGTCATACTTATGAATTACGTTGTCGAATTTAGGGATTCCTATCTTATCATGGAAGTAAGATTATTGAGCCAGCAACGATGAACTGGATGCATTCGTGAGATAGATCAGGTCAATTCACAACCGTAAGCATGTACGAGATGATAGAACAACGACTTTCTCGAAATTTTACGAACGATCAACATGAAGAAGAATGAAAGTCAAGCTCTCTGAGAAATTCAACGAATAAAACGACATAGATTACTTGGATGATTTTTAGTCTTGATTCAGACACTAGATTGGAATGAATTCACTAGTACGCTAGCACAACATTTGATTTCGTTTATTTTAATTCTATATTTTACGTTCTGTGGAATACTAATTGTTCTCTAAATCCTCTCAATTACGTAACGAATACTTATCTTGTGTATTCATCTGCTCATTCACTGTATCTTCTATTGATCATCATTAAACAAATTGCTCCATAGATGCACCTAGTCACCATTCCGACTTGGATGATATAGATACGTTGCTGAACGATGAAGAATTTTGTCGAGAATTAGAAGCATGATCTGAAGCATCATGTAAATATAAAACTTTCGGAACGATTTAACATTCAACATATACTTTTTCCTTCTCTCTTTAGTCAATATTAGCCATACTTCATCAATTCCTACCACACCGAATCTGTTGGATACTGCATTCATAAACGTAAATTATCCTTTCTTCGCTCAAAAATACTAAAAAAAATTCTCATCGCAATAGGAAACCAATCTCTATGAACCCGAACAGATCCGTCCACCTCTACAACAAGATGAATCAACTGTATCAAAAAATAACCAGTGCATGATGTGATTGTTTTATTTATTTATTAGGACAACCTACCAAGGATGCTACTTCCACCGTTCATTCTGTAATCAGTACTATCATTGAAGTATAGAATAATGCAGAAATATTAATACCACCCGAAGAGATCCTTAAGCAAGATCGAAACTAGTCGTACTTGTAGTTTAATACTCTTTGTACTTACCTTTTTGATATTTTGCTTGACCCTTTCTTATACGTATCATTATAAAGAGTGTAAAAAAATTGTATCAGAAAACGTACTTAGAGTTCAGCAATAGCGGCAAAGTTCGCTTTGTAAAATGATCAATTTTGTAAGAGCAACATTCAGCAAAAACATCTGATTATTTCTTCTTGAGTATACTGTGGGAACCCAACGGTTTTACCATCGGATAGGGTTTTTAGTCTGTATGAAACTTTCTAAATAATTTTGAGATTTATTTTTGAATTTCTTCGCTCTGTATGACTAGTA